TGCTGAACAGAGGGGAAGGCTCACCTCCTGCAACCTGCTGGCAACATTCCTCCTAATGCAGGCCAGGATACCATTAGTCTTCTTTGCTACAAGAGTACATTGCTGGCTCAAGTTCAATTTCGTGTCCACCAGGACCCCTAAGTCCTTTTCTGCCAAGCTGCTTTCCAGCTGTTTGGATTCCAGCATATATTGGTGCCTGGAGTCATTCTTGCTCAGGTGCAGGACTTTGCCTTTCCCCTTGTTGAACTTTGTGAGATCCCTGCCAGCACACTTCTCCCAGCCTGTTGAGGTCCTTCTGGATGGCAGCATGACCCTCTAGTGTATCAGCCAAGTTTTGCATTGTCAGCAAACTTGCTGAGCATATTTCTGCCCCATCATCAAGATCATGAATGAAACTGTTGAACAGTACCAGATGCAGCACTGAGCCCCTGGTGTGCAACACTAATTACTGACCTCCAACTAGACTTTGTGCCACTGGTCACCACCCTCTGGGCCAACCATTCAGGCATTTCTCAGTCCACCTCACCATCTGCTCATCCAGCTCATCCATCAAACAGCTTGACTAAGTGTCAGTGCTGAAGGCCTCACCCTGAGCCTAGGGAGTTGATATCCACTGCTCTCCCTCACCCATGAAGCTAACTCCCTGCTCAGGGAAGGTTAGATCATGTTGGTTTTGAAAGTGATGTTCCTGTGGAGATGAGTAGTTACTGAGTTTTCGGGGTGGTGTATTTTGCTCTCTCTGTGTCTGTAGTGAGTGAGTGCATGTTTCTGTTTCTCTTCAGGAATTTTGTGAATACTTTTATTCAGTTTAAGAAGCCAATCATTGTAGCAGTAAATGGCCCAGCCATTGGACTTGGAGCATCTATATTGCCTTTATGTGATGTGGTTTGGGCTAATGAGAAGGCTTGGTTTCAGACACCTTACACTACTTTTGGACAAAGTCCAGATGGATGTTCATCCCTCACATTCCCTCGGATAATGGGCCTGGCTTCTGTAAGTAGCTTGCAGGGTAAGGGCTGACAGCTTCACAATGCAGTTGTGATAATTTATCCAGAGTGATGTCAAGACTTTTTACCTTTGCTGTGTTGTGTTTATTTTTCCTTCCTCTCATGAAAACTTGTCATGAGAAACCAGTATGTACAGCATCTCTGCTCTATGTTGTTGTAACCTAGTCTTCACCTGCATGCACAGAACAGAAAGCAGGCACAGGACCTAATCCCACATCATGGGTACCCTTAACCCTGATGGTGGCAGAAGTGTTGTGTCCTGCATACCAGGACACACCTTCCCTGCTGGTGCCTCCTGAGGCCCAGCTACCAGTGTCTTGCATTGAGCACAGCATCAGAACATAGCAGAGAATGGGCTGGTCTATACTCAGTGTTGTTACATAGCAGAGCCCTGTGTCATCTGCTGTTAGCAGTGTCGTGCTAGTGTGCAGAAGAAGTAATTCACCTTTCATGCACTTCTTCTTAAGAAGTCGTGGCAAACTTCCTCACTGTGTTATGCAATAAATAGCCCAAATCACATCTGGGAGGGATGGGGGTTTTTCAGTCTTGCACTCAATTTACAGTATTGCTGGATTGAAAAAAAAAAAAAAAAAGAAAAAAGGTAACAGTTTGCATTGTTGCTGAAAACGTACATAAGCTACATGTTACTTAGTAACCCTTTTCTTTCCTTCCAATTAGATGAAAACATCAAATGTAACAAAAAGCTATTTGAAAATCTATCTACATACTTTTCACGTTGCTTAAGATTATTTATGCTGTGCTCTTTGAGAACTGTTAGCCCTACGTCCCCTTCCAATTTGAACAGTAGCAGCATTAAATGAGCACTTTCAGATACACCTGCTTTTCCTAAGTTTCTGCTAATTATAAAAGCCAATTTTCCCCTGTAGGTATTGATGTAAAAATACAGATATCAATATATCATTTCTAACAGATCTAATGACTAATTGTGTGATGTCTGGATTTAGTTATTAGAAGAGAACAGAGAAGGTAACTGAAAGAGATTAACAGTTTTATAAGAGTATCTTTAATATCTTAGCATGTTTCAAACTACTGATTGTTCCTTTCCCTTTTTATTTGGCCATCCACCCATCCCATCCATCCATCCCCATTCTTTAGAGACTTGTGGTTTTTACTTTTTGTTTCTTTAAAAGTTGAACAAAAAAAACACAAGAAGCTCTTCCCCAGTATATATATTCTTTCATGTGTGTTTGTGAATGTTCCCATTTTTAAATATAAAGATTTAAAGTTTCCAGTGATAACAATTCCATAAATATATGGAAAGAGGGGCGGGGGGGGGAAACAAAAAAGTCCCTTAGCCCTCTGGAGCATAGCAATGTCAGTGCTCTACAGGACAAAGTCATACTTTATTCAGCAGATTTCAGGAAACATATTCAGAATCCATACTGAAAATTGTACTGAAGTAGCAGCCCTTCTAGCTGTAGAAGGGAGAGAGGAGTCATCAGGAAGAAGAGATTGCATGAGTAAAATTAGAAACATGTAGGGGAAAAACATTAAAATATCCAATAAAAAGAAAGAATTAAGGCCTCTGTATGAATGATAAAATGTGATACAAATATATTAATTCAGCAATATTAGTCCCACCTTTAACTTCTCTAAGTCAGATTCAGTGCATTCTTTTTATCATCAGCAGTTACGTAAATACCTTCTGTTGCACGATTCTTGGAAGTATATTCCCTACCATTGTCAGTCTTTGCTGGTGAGCAGGTCTGCTGTGGAGGGGTTTTTTTCAAAGAACATGTTCAACAGAGGTCATTTATTACTGAAAATGTTAAGCCCAGGCCTTAGGATTCAAAACTGATACTGCATTGGGAATACCAAGAATCTTAGATTCTTAAACTGAGCATTTGAGTGTTGAGAGATTAAGGTGATCTCTGTTTGGGGAGGTCTGTTATTATGTGTCTGCTGTGGAGCTCTTGGTCTGGTTTTCTGGTCCTGGATCACAGGAGCTATATGATCAAGCCTTAGATGCTGGGCTTCCCTGTTGGTCCTATTGCTCTTGGCAGTATTCCTTATGCTTTTCTGTCACTCATGAGGGATAAACTTTTCCATAGTGCTTGTAGACCATGTTGCAGCCAGGGCCTCAGACAAGCTGTGTCCTGATTGTAGTGCAAGAGAGTGGAGATGTCCCATGGCAGCTACTGCCCGTGGGCTTGCATGAGAGGTCCCCTGTGAGCCCCAAAACACTGTAAGGAAGTTCAGAGGGATGATCCAGTCAAGTCCCTCTGTGGAAGGCAAAAAACTGAGTAGAAAATGAAAGTCATTAATAAGCATCTTATATTAATTAAATATTTTTATAATCTCAATTTCTATTGTTGCATTATATTTCTTGGAAAGTAAAACCACAAAGTGTGTTAATGTTCTCAGCAGAGGCAAGCTCTGATTATATTACTACAACTTGTTTAGCAGTGGGACTCTGCCATACGTTGTGCATAGATCAAAAGTGGAGATGCCAGAGCAAAACATTTCCCTTCAAAACCTGTCAACCAAGAACACTCCCATTCCATGGGAGATTTTCTGCTAATGCCGTTACAGATGGCAAAATAAGATAACTGAACCTTTGTCATTTGTGGGTTTTCACATTCAGGAGAAGTCAGCAGTTCCTACTGAGGTTCTTTTTGAAAAATTAAGGTTTTTCTAGCATTTTTATCCTTGTTACCGAAGATGCATCAGAAAAATATGTAGACCTGACCAGCTAACTTAAAATTCTGCCTTTCCCAAGTCCCAGGTAGATTGACTTCTTGTTTTGATCTTTGATACAAATGTTAACTATCTTTTAAAATTATTTTGGAGTAATTTTTTGTTCTTGTATGTCCTTAGGAAAATGATTCCTGGTTTTAGACAAACTTATGCGTATCACTCATTTTTTTGGGTAATGTTAGTAGTTGTTCACATATAATCTGGAAAATCCAAAGCTACGGGTGTGATAGTTAATGAACCTTTTATATTTGATTTTGCTTTCACAGAAGGTAGAACTATAGTGGTACATCAGTTGTATCTTTAGTTTCAGGTTTGTTTTTTAAACTGTGTGAATGACAACTTTTCATATTGACTTACAAGAGATGTGCAGATGATAAACTTTTAAAGGTCCTGAGCAGCATCTCTTTTTTACATGCCAAGTGGTCTGGGAGGCAGCAACCAACTGGCAGCCAGTAGAACTCAGACTTCATATTTCATTACAAGTTTGCAATTTTCTTCATGTAAAAAATGGCAATACCAAGACCTTTACCTACAGTAACTTGAGTTCCCTAACTGAAGGTTGCTGTAGTAATTGCCAAAACTTGCAATATTAGAAAACATTTAAAAATGCATAATTTTAATCTCAGAAATGCTACACCTTTCAGGTTTGGGTGGTTTATAACAGCCTTATTTTCCATATTTGAAGAGTCCAGTGACAGCTTTGTCAAATTTTCAGTGTAAATTAGTAATTAAGAAACAGTAAAACTGATTAATTTTTTTATTTTTTTTTTTGAGGTTGACAATTATTGAGTTTTTAATCTTCACTGGCTATTTCCATGCAGATGTCAAAAAGAGTTTAACTATAGAAGAAACTTCAGTAAAGGTAGAATTAAAGCATGAGTGTACATGATTGTAGAATGAACTTTTAATGGAGAGGCTTCTAAATAGTGAAGTATATGACAATTACAAATAAAGATTTAGAGAACTAGACTCCCTCATTGCATAGAGTGTGGTACCCTGTACCATTAAACTGTGGTTTTCATTTAGTAAGACTGCTAAGTCTGCTTTTGAGAGTTTATCAGTTAAATATTGAACTCCAAAAAATCCAGGGATGTTTGTTTTATATGGATTTGATCAGAAATTGTACTATGTCCTGCTCACTCAGTGGATTTTGGAGGTCAAATTCTAAGATGATCCAGCTATATGAAATGTTGCATCATAAATGAAATACTGCTGAAGACCTTTGAAAATAAACTATATATTTAGGTTTCAAACATTTTCAGTATTAAAAAACATTTTAGTTGCAAAATCTTTAACCATTTTTTCTAACAAGACTAGCAGTTCCCAGGAGATCTGCTACCCAAACCTTGTTATCTTTATAATTTATAGACAATGTAGATTTTTAGTAAAGATTTTGCTGCTGCATTTAACATTCCTATAAAGGGCAAACCAATGTATTCAGTGCTGGTTTACAAATCTGCCAGGCATTACAAGCTATTACCCCACATACAGTTAATCAAGTCAGCAATACTGCAAGAAAGCTAGAACTCATGAACATTCTTGAATGGGAAATGGCAAAAGACATTTTCACATTTAACCCTTAATCTTAAACCTCTGTACTTTTATAACTACAGACATAGCATAGCCAACAACAGTGACCAGCTGCCTGTAGGCAAGTATTTTTCCTTATTAATTAAAAGTTGGAAGAGCTATAATAAAAGTATTTCCAATAGTGCAGGCATTTTCCTTATTTGTTTTGAACATTTTTTCCTTTAACAAGTTTTGTCTCATTACATTTCATACCAGAAGTAACTTTTTATCCCTTCAGGCCAATGAAATGTTGTTCAGTGGAAGGAAGTTGACTGCACAGGAAGCTTGTGCCAAAGGACTCGTCTCTCAAGTGTTTTGGCCGGGAACATTCACACAAGAAGTAATGGTTCGAATTAAGGAACTTGTCACATGTAATTCAGTTGTAAGTTTCCTTTATTTTCTCGTAATGCATTTTTATGATGAAATTAATAAGAATGAATCCAAGTATTACTAGACCACATCGTTATGTCTGTCTTCAAATACACGGTTTTCAAGGAAGGAGGACTGCATTTTAGTTTAGCAATGTCCTTTAACACATTCTTATGCATGTTGCTGTTTCTGCGGATTATTTTTTTTCCAGCTTGTATCTGACTCTTCTTTATCATATGCCACAGTACGTTGTGGTTAAGAACACTAAAACACATAGTGCATTCATGGTTGTCTGCACTACTGGCAGTTGCAAAAGAAAGCTAAAACTAGAGATATTTGATGCTTTCTTACAAGAGATCAAGAGATGCAGTACAAACTATTTTGTGCATTAGAAATTGATGGGTTTGAAAGGGATTTTTTTTTTTTTTTTTTTAATGGAAAAGCCAATGATATTTTTGAGTTTATTTTAAATGCTGCAGAGATTCAAGGTCTGCCTGGATAGAGCAGCTCTAAGTAAGAGTGTTTTCTGATGAGCCTTCACCGAAATGGGAGTTTTTTCTAGCTATCAGTATAAAGCCAGATATATACACAGAGATAGATAGATATTCATAGCTACAATTTTATGATTGTCATTATTTCAACATTTTAGTGCACTTGTAAGTTGTGCTGCTTTGGGGTAAAGAAAATGCTGTGTTATGCTATGAGAGAGACTCCTTGGGAAATGTTTCTTAGGGTCATACTATGTCCATGAAGCTCAAGTTCACAATCAGCCTCATGATTCATCCATGTAAGTGCACACATCACTCAGTTCTCACATAGCATTAACCTCAACTCCCTTTTGGCTTTTTTTTCCCTAGGTACTTGAAGAATCCAAAGCTTTAGTACGCAATATCATGAAGATGGACTTGGAACAGGCAAATGAAAAGGAGTGTGAAGTGTTGAAGAAAATCTGGGGCTCAGCACAAGGGCTGGACTCAATGTTAAAGTATCTGCAGAAGAAAATTGATGAGTTCTGAGATGCCCATTGACACTGGAATTGTATTTCTTGGACATCAGGGCAAACAAAATATGCCCATTTTAAAAACCTATATAAACTCACCCCTTGCTCTGCTTGGGAACAGGAGTGGACCCTCCCCCTCTCCCCTTTTATTGTCAAGGGGTTTAAAAGTACTGTATCACTTAAATTTGAACAAAACTCCTTTCTCCCTGATTGTTACATATAGATATATATACACACACGTGTATGTGTGTGCATATATATATGTCTTTTATATATATATAAATATATATAACGTAATATGTGTGACAGTGTGTATGTAGAGACACACACACACAAGCTAAAAAAAAAAAAAAGATAGAGTGCACTACCAAACATCTCTTTAAAGGCTCTAGTTTTTTGCTATCTTTGGCTAGTACTGTATCCAATAGAGAATGGATTAAAAAGTGAATGGTGTTGCATTATTTTCTGTGTGGCAGGGAAGTCTGGAATAATGCTTTTCTTTTTCATTAGAATATAGAACTGAAACGGGTATTAGCCAGCCCTCACTTTCACTGCCCAAGGAGTCAGCTAAGATATGAGGCACGGTCTCAGAAGAAGGTTGAATTACCTCAAGTAATGGAACATTCTAAAATGTTGGGGTATTTAATCCTATTAAGATTAGATCACACACATCCCCAAAAAGAGAGTGTGCTCAGGATTAATGCTAAGAAAACACTCTGACTGTTCTTTTGGGGGTAGGTATAGAGGGGTGGGAGGAAAGGGGCAGGAATATATTTAATTCTTACCCAGATAGCATGAAGAAACCACTGTCTCTTGGGAAAGGGGAATGAGGGGGAAAAGGGAGGGAATGGAAGGGGGGAGAAAAAAAACAAAAAACAAAAAAGCTTGTTTTGCAGTATTAGTGAATCACTGAATATCTTATGTATGAATATTCTAAGTTATAAGTTAGTTTTAGTGGGTTTTTAAATAGTCTCTCTGGGTTTGTTTTTTATTTGGTTTTTTGGTTTTGGTTTTTTGTTGTTTTTTTTTTAATAACTACATAAGTGCTTCTGTTGCTGGGTGAGAATACTACTTTATATACAGTTTGGGTTTTGTTCTTTGTTCTTTTTTTCCTACTTGCTGGTTTCATTGATGTATTACACCAAAAATGCATTTTATGTTCATAAATTTTAGGTTCACTTAGAATATATTATTTAATAAGTTAAAATTCTTTTGGCACACTATTAAGTAAAAAAAAAACAAAACTCCTTTAAAAAAAACAACTACCTTATATTAGATGTTTAATGTTCTTTGTCTATGCTTTTTTATTATTTTAAATATACACTATATACAGTATGGTGTAAAAGAGTGCCCTGTGTAAATAGACCTATTTTGCATTCCTTTCAGGAGTGGTTATTGATTCCTGACTGCAGATATCTATTATTACTTGGGTATCTGTGCTTGCAATCTTATTGAATGTACTATGAAGAATGAAAAAGAAAATCAAACCTTATTTTTGTACAGTTTTGAAGTTTTTACTTGGAACTGACCCACCTCCCCTTCCCAGTGGAGAGCTGTACAGTGTGTAAATCTGCCTTTACCTTGGATTGGTACAGTATTTTTGCATCTGTGGGACCTACTTTTTTGTTCTAGTAGTTTGAACTATATATAAACTGTACAATCTGTAAAGTTTTTATAGAATAAATATTCAGCTGTGAAAACTGGTTAAATAAAACTAATATTTCTTAACACATTTTAAATGTGGTTCTCATAGAGTTGTCTTTTTCAAAGCCATTTCAGTTCTGATTTTAAAGTAAGAGTTGCTGAAACAAATCTTGCCTTCGATCTTTGTTTTATTTTGTTAAAATTATATAAGCTCTTAAGTGTTTCCTTCAAATGAAAAGTTAAAAATTACAGAGTTGTAAACTACATGGAAGTTTTAGAGGAGGAGGATGGAGAATGACTTCCTATATGTATTCTTTCTACTCTTTATTTTGTTACAGTTCTAAAAGAACTTGCTTTGCAATCTCTTAAAGATGGGTCATTTTCTCTACAACACTGTGGTAAAGTGAGAATTCCTTCACTGAATTTGATTTTATTGAAAGGAAGAAGGAACAATACTTTACCTACAGTTCTGTAATGTTAAACCTTTTGGAGACTGACTCAAATTTATATAAAGATCCCTTTTCTGGCATCTTTAAGGAGCATTTAGGCATAGACGGCATCTCTTTCAGATGGAGGATTATGAAAGCACTTCACTGTAACAGAGACTGGATCTAGAGATATTTAGAATTAAGTCAGTTGAAGGCATAGGCAATTCAACTGGAACAATAATTCTACTTGCTTCATGTTTTGCGTTACTATCAGAAGGCTGTTACACTTCCTACAGTTGGCATATTAAGATTTGAATAAGTTGGTGATGATGTAAATGCCTGGCTTTGGAAAAAGTCCGTTGTTCAGATGAAACCATACACACTGTGCCACTGAACAATTACCCTACCTATATGTTACCAAATCAATTGCTTAATATATTAACTATAAACAACTATTTTTAATAAATATATAAACTTTATATTATTAATTATATAGCTAGTTATATAGTTGCTATGTAATATTATATAACTATATATTAACTTTTGGAAGTAAAATAAGATAACTTTTTTCCTGGTCAGGAACAGTACCAGAGAGCCATGGATTGAATGTACCTGGAACTGTTTGAAAGCCACCTGTGTGCATGTCACCACACCTTCTGCTGACATGTTAGTTTGAGCAAAAATAGAAAGCAGAGCAAGGTGTTAGCCCTGGGTAAAATGACCTACAAAAAAAAGATATTCTGGGGTAATCTAAAGATCTGAACTCACCTATAGGTCTTTTCCTTGTTCAAATGCCCTAATTTGCATGAATCCAGGATTTGAAGCAGGTTCCTTCAACGAGTCCTTCACTGGATTGTTGACATTGCTAAAAGGCACTTCTCTGTGCTTCAGAAGCTGCACCATTATCATTCTGAAAACACAGTTCAGGGAACTGACCAGTGATAGGACAAGGGGTAATGGGTGTAAATTGGAGCATAGGAGGTTCAAGGTGAATATCCGAAAAAAAATTTTTACTGTAAGAGTGACAGAGCACTGGAACAGACTGCCCAGGGAGGTTGTGGAGTCTCCTTCACTGGAGACATTCAAAACCCACCTGGATGCGTTCCTGTGTGATGTACTCTAGGTGACCCTGCTCTGGCAGGGGGGTTGGACTAGATGATCTCTCGAGGTCCCTTCCAGCCCCTAAGATTCTATGATTCTATGATTCTATGAATTAAATAATTTTCAGATTAGGTTCATTTCTTAAAATCAAGCACACCTGGAATAGAAAAAAAAACAACACATAATGCTGAGCTAGAAGCTGCTTAACATGTCAGTGATACATTTCATACTTTATCCAAAGAGTTGATAAAATAGGACTGCAAACATCTAGGGAATTAGGCAGCAACAAAACATTTTTTCTGGCCAAGTGGACAGGATAGACTTTCTACAATAAACGGATCCTATACTCCACACCTAGATCTCTTGGTGGAAGTTGAGGCACTTCACATTCATCTGGGACATGACAGGTATGCTTCTGCAGACAGCAGAAGGAGATAGCTCAAGAGTTTGCAGAGTGTTTCTTCCATCCTAAGGAACTGCCAGTAGCTGTCAGCACACAGGTTGTCTTGCAGAGCCTGAGTTAGCAACCATAAGTCATACTGAAGATGGCACACAGGTGGAGTTTCCTTTCTAAAAGAAGCAGCATCTGGAAGAGAGCCCCTGTATAGCAAAACGTATTTCACTGATAGGTCTCTGCACTTTTTTTCCTTACTTATGGAGCACACAGCTGGCAGATTAAGTCATGCACTAGACTTAGTAACAAACAAACACCAAACTATTACCTTGTGAGGTACTCAGGGGATGAAGAGCAAGTTGATGTGCAAAAATGTTGATGTGCAAAAATGTTGATGTGTAATACAAAATGAGAAGATGGTGATGGAATTCTTTTGGGACCTCCTCATCCCTCCAGCACATGAAAAAAAACAAGTAAATGGAATTAGAAACCACCAAGAAAGAGCAGGTAAGAAGTGAAGGGAGCTGCATGAGGAAATAAAGGGATGGCAGTTATTCTGTCTTCAGTCCTCATTCTTACTGCCCTCAATGCTGGGAGAGATCCACTTGACAAGAGCACCATGTGGACATATACTTGTTCCATACCGAAGAGTGGGGCACATTATCAGTACCTATGCCTAAAAGTATGCAGACTACAAGCCTCACTTTTGCAGGCCCTGGACCTCATGGGGGACTCCAACCACCTTCCTATCTCCTGGAGGACACAGAGAATGCTTGGGGGGATCTCATCAAGGTACATAAACACCTGGAGAGAGGGGCACAAAGAGGACGGAGTCAAGCTTCTTTTCAGTGGTGTCCAGTGACAAGACTAGAAGCAATGGGCACAAATTGAAACCCAGGAGGTTTCCCCCTGAACGTTTTTCAGATTTTTCTCAGGAAACACTTTCTTACTGCGATGGTGACTGAGCACGTGCCCAGATTGTCCAAGGAGGCTGTAGGATCTTCATCCTTGGAAATATTAAAAAAGATTATTAACATGGTCCTGGGCAACCAAGTCTACATGGTTCTGCTTGAGCAAAAAGATCCCTTTCAATTTCTACCATTCTATGAAGAAAAAAAAAAAAAAGGGAAAAAGAAAAAAACAAACAAAAAAAAAAAAACCAACCAAACCCCACAAAAACAACAACCACCACATTAATTTTCCAGCAATCCAATCATCATCCAGAAAACAACTTCCATGGCTAGAACTACAGGTTCATCAGGCTCTGCAACGCTACATGCTTTAGGCTTTCAGAACCCAACATCTTGTGCTGGATGATACAAGATCACCCAGAACAGAGGTAAGTACAGATCAACTCCCATGCTTCAGATAAGACAGGGATCATCCTTTACCCTGTCTGTTAAAAAGCATAAAGAAAAAGATCAAAGAAAAATAATGTATTTGTTTATT